TTCCAAAGAAAAGGATTCCGTGGTTTAGCAGCGAAACCCAAACCAAACACAGATCAAGCGCATTTCAAGCGCATTTCAAGCGCATTTCAAGGGTAGGGAGGCTTGCCAGGCCTTCGAGGAAAGCAAGGAGCAGCGCATTTCAAGCGCATTTCAAGCGCATTTCACTAGTAACGTGGATTCCATAATATAAGAGGAGGTGCCAAAGCAAGCGCATTTCCATTGCATTTCCAAAGAGAAGGATTCCGTGGTTTATCACCGAAACCCAAACCAAATACAGATCAAGCGCATTTCAAGCGCATTTCAAGCGCATTTCAAGGGTAGGGAGGCTTGCCAGGCCTTCGAGGAAAGCTCATTTCAAGCGCATTTCAAGCGCATTTCAAGCGCATTTCAAGCGCATTTCAATAGTAAGGTGGATTCCATAAAAGAAGAGGAGGTCCCAAAGCAAATGCAGATCCAGTGCCTTTCAAGCGCAGTTCAATTGCATTTCCAAAGTGAAGGATTCCGTGGTTTAGCAGCGAAACCCAAACCAAACACAGATCAAGCGCATTTCAAGCGCATTTCAAGCGCATTTCAAGGGTAGGGAGGCTTGCCAGGCCTTCGAGGAAAGCAAGGAGCAGCGCATTTCAAGCGCATTTCAATAGTAAGGTGTGCCAAAACCAAAAACAGATCAAGGGCACTTCAAGTGCGTTTCCGACACATTTCAATGATAACCAGGATGCCATAGGTAAACGAAACGAAAAGCACATACAGATGAAGTGCACGCCTTACGTTCTTCAAACACATTGGATGGCAGCAAGGATTGCACACACACACACAGACAGACAGACAGACAGACAGACAGACAGACAGACAGACAGACACACACACACACACACACACGCACACACTTGCTTGAGTTGCCAAACAAATCACGGGGCATTGGGCAACAAAATATGTGTCAGTAATCAGCCCTTCTCACTATTGTCATGAGAAAAGCAAGCATTCCAAATCACAATTGTCATTTCAAACCCTGCATTCCCAGGTCCGGCGAGGTGTGCTTATTGAACTGTCGAAGTTAGCATTACAGATATGACTTGGACTAGAAAGAAACGCCCTGCGTGTGGTCGCAACGACCAATCCGACTGGAAGCAGCGCAGCTCTGGCAGTCTGGATCTCTGGGTGTCCTGCAATCCATGACAGTCGCAGCTCTATCGAATCGTATTTGTTCGGAACATGTTTGGAGTTTAAACCATAGGGGTTTAAGGAACAGGTTAAGGGGTTAGTCTAGTGTAGGGTTTGGAAATTACACGTTCAGGCTCCCTGACGATGACTGGACGGGCATGGGGTTCAAAACTACACACACTGCACTACTGCCTACTCGGGGCTTACCTATTCCAGCGGCAGCAAAAACAAACCAAAAAACTCATGCATTGCTAATGCCTAGGATGTGAAACCTGAGACTCAGAGTGCTATCAATGACGAATGAAATTGAGAAGCTTCTGAAATGAGCTGCAGCTCCAAGTTATAATTCTTGAAAGGGCGATTGCTGGCTAACATCTACAAAAAGTATTATTCCGTATATGCTGGCTTGAATCATTGATTCCACATAGACTAGACTTTGATTTCAATAATTTTGTCTACATTACGTATGTATACTAATACATTAGGTAGCCGACGCACATTTTCAACCTGGGCACTGCGGGAAAGTCGAGCGTCCGTGCTATGCGTGTGTCTCCTCGTCCTCCGAATCATCGAAGTCCAAAAGAACCTGCGAGTCGAACTCCGGTGTGTTGTACCTTCTCAGTGCCGGCACTTCAAGTGCACGACGGGGACCACGACCTGCCCTGCTGCTCTCATTAAGGGCACGGAGTCGTCCATAGCAGACCATCGTGGCCCAAAACGTCGCGGCGAAGCAGCTCGCTTCAAAAGCATTGCCAGCAAGATCTGCCAGCAGGCTCTGCGGGAAGTTTTCCAGTCGTGTGTCGTCCTCCGTGAACCATGCCCCTTGCAAGCGCAACGACTCCAATGGGAGCATGCACCGGCACTCCGATGTCAAGTACCGCTCGCCCTTTGGTGTCACGCACGGCGAGTGGTTCGTTAAGTGGGCAAACTTGTCCTGCGAGATGTCGACGACCTGAAGAGTCTCGCTTGGGAAGTTCCTCACGCCAAGCTTGAACAAAGTCCTGCGTTTTCGGGCCGTCATGCACTTGAGGTACGGCCGTGTCCGAGCTGCCCGGCGGAATTTCTTTAACCAGTCCTTGGTGACGATCTTCTCACGTTTCAGGGTCCGGGTGCCCGACGAGCATGTGCTGAGGTGGCTGAAACTTGTTGCCCGGCTTGATGCGAAGGATTGTCGCCGGAATTCTCCCACCAGTCTGTCCTGCGGCTGTGACTGAGTGTCCTGCGACTCCTCGACCTGTGAGTCTTGTCGTTCTGCCCGGCGACGACGAGCCCGTCGTGTTTGGAGCTGCTGCAACTTCTTGTTGTACTCCGTGGTGAACTTCGCCATATGCACGCACCTGCATCAGAACAGAATACAAGTAGAAAGTACTTATTGCATGAGTACACCTAGAAACACACCTGCGAACCTACATTTAGCACTACGTCCCTATTTTTCATTCAAGGCAGTACAACAAGCCGTGGCATGAAAGAAGTATCTTGAAGAAACCTGATCCTCCCGTCAGACGCACACAAGGACCTTAACTAAAACACATGTCCTGAATCAACTTCAAAACGAGAAAAACAACTGTACTGTATGTCGGTGGTAGGGGAGTAATGCAGCAGCAAATAAGCTCAATCTCACAGAACTACACCTGATTCGATGATGGCAAGGATGTGGGAAGCTACTACTCCTGCCAGAAACCAGAAAGATGAAGACGATACTCTGATACTCTGTCTTCAATTCTCCGAACTTACTGAGTAAAAAATCAGAACTACTACAATATCCCTGGAACCATGCTCCCTGCGAGGTGTACGAGGAACCATTGCCATCTAAGCATGGGCCTCGAGTTGACCAGGTACTCCGACACCGAGATCTCCTTCAGACCCAGGAGTGTGTCCATGATGCTGTTCAGCATCTTTTGTACTTCGTGTTCTGGAAGGAGTCCCTCGAAGATCCGGCGTGGAATGGCTGTCATCCACAGCCGCTTTCGACTTTGTGGAACACCGAACATTCGTGGGTCCAACTCCCAGACATGCAGCAAACGATCTGTCTGCGTGCTGATCAAGTGTCCGACATGGTCCAGGTTGGAGGGTCCAGTGCTTCCGTCGGCGTTACGGGTCTTGGTCTTCAGTCCGGCGACGTTCTCAAACAAACAGAAATTCGGTCCGACGAGGCCCGTCGACTGCAGGTAGTGAACGATGCCCTGCAGCACGGAGCCAGTGCGAAGAGTGCCGTCGGCAACGCAGGATCTGTTGGCCGACGTGGACGACGACGGGTTCAGGACAGAACAATCCTGACATGGGAAGCCCGCCGTCATGACCGTACAGCGTGGCATGCGCACGAACGTGTTCGTTTTCGAGTCCCAGATTTCCTTGTCATATTCCAGGTCCGTCGCGTTACAGAACATGCGCTCGATCTTCCTGTCCGTCGTCAAAAGGAACTGGCGTTTGGCGGGCTCCTTCTCGCAGGCGAACTTGTGAGTGAATGCCGGCGAGTCCAGCTCCCAGTGGAAACGTGCCCAGTCCCAGAACTGCTTCATGACCGTCGCAGCGATGTCCATCCCACTGCAGATCGACCCGTATTGTCCATCGAGGAGCGTGCTTTCACGCACCAAGTCCTGACAGTATGCCACGTCCTCGGGGTCGAGCCTCCTGACCCAGAGCCTGAACAAGTCCTTCGTGCGTGTTGCATGCGCCGGCAGGGTACGTGGAAAGTGTTGCAGGCTGTACTTCGGAATATGACCCTCGACTTGCTTCACCACTTCTGCAGTACGGCGATGGGGTCTGTCCGGCGTGGGTAAGTCCTCCGGCTGGAACTGCAACGCTCGCCGCAAAGCCATGGGTAAGCTACGTGTACTGTACAGCGAGTGCCAGATGTTCTCTCAGGAAGCAGGACTAAGGAACCGGGAGACGATGAGTTTGCCGATAGGTATAGGCGTTCCGAACACAAGCCCCGGCCTCTCGTCCAATTATATAATGCTCTTTATGAATCCTGCTGAACGACGTGCTTTTATCAGTATAGCTGCCCCTGCATTGCACTGTTCAGATGATGTTCTGGAGCCAGAAGACTGACTTGGCTCTCTGGAGACCATCATGAAACCAGGTCGGAAAGGTTGACCCCATTCTTCCAGCAGCAGCAAGAAACATTGAAAAACAAAGCTTTCCAAATCGACAGTAAAAGAAATCCATTGGGAGCCTCTCTGCGACTAGTCCAACCGAAAACTAAAACCACATTCTACAAGAACGAACTAACATCATAGTGTAAGCAGCATTTCAAAACATAGGACATCTGAACATTCCATCCAAGACTGCACTGAACTGTGCGGCCGAAACCGTCCTTGAAGTGCTCCGTGTGTCGCTGCCAGAGTGAGAAGGGTGTGGCCTCTGCCCCAGGGCCTGCAACATGGAAATGGAAAGCATCTAGCCAAGGAGTGTGGGGGAACAGCGGTGTATTATCCTTAGGACTTCAGACACGCCTCTGCATGTACATGTTCTGTAGAACCTACAGATTCCAAATGGCAGAATGAGCGGCCCTTTTTATCTTTGCCGAAGGGCCGTCCTTGACATGCACAAGTCGGTCGTCAATCGTGTGACAGCGGGGAACTGAACAAAAAGAACCCAACCACAAAGTCTAATACATTATTCTGGTTTTCTGCAATCTTCTTAAGTTAATTCTCTTACGAGATTCAATGAACTGATTCAATGATTCGAAACATCGGGTCATCGAACAACGTGTGTCATGCAAAACTTGCACGGGCGAGTCCACCGGCGACAACATTCGTCATCTCTTGTCTGACATAAAATCATACTTTGCGAAAGACACGTTGGAAAGTTATAGCATTACGTACACCGGGGACTTGCTACGGCTCCTCTTCTTCGTCCAGCGACTGAATTGTCCTCGTGAAACGGCCCTGCAAATCCTTCAACAAATCGACTGAGCTGCGCCTGTCCTGCTCCAATGTGAAGCATGAACCGAAAACGTGTGCAGCGATGTCGTCGTCCAGCAAGTGCAGGTCGCGTGCTCTCTCGCGCCATGCAGTCTGGAAACGAACGAGCGCTTGTGAGATGGTCGGCGTGTGCTTGACGAAGCCCTTCGGGTCGGGAGTGAACAGCGAGCGTGTCGTCTTCGCGTAGCAATCCCACGTCACCACACCGAGTGCCCACATGTCCGCCTTCGGGCCGATCTCCACCTCTTTCATCAAAGTGAAGCTGCTGAGCAGTTAAGGGAAACGACAACAAAATGAAACACATAGTCATACTTCCTGCCAAAAAACAAGTCAATTCTTAAAGACATGGCTGTTACTAGCAAGATATGAAGTTTTTCAGGCTATGTCTTTGACTAAGAAGCTGAGTCTACGACTGCATGTGCTGACATGACTCTTCTATGAATCAAGAATCAGATCTTTGTGTCAAGTTTTCAATTACAATGGCCATTGCTAGTTTGCTAGTAGTAATGACATCAGTTGGATCCGGGAATGCCTGAGGTTGATCTGGTCCTGCAGTTCAGATCCGCAAAATCATAAAGTGTTACTAGAATGAACATACGCACCGGGCTTACTACTTTCAACTTTCTTCGACTAGGATTCATGGTCCAGGCCTTGCCGTCCCCGGAGTAAAGGCACTCGATCGGCCGGTAGTACGTCGTGTAGACTTCGTCAGCTCTGACTTTTGCTTTTCCATTGAGTGGCAAAGCTCGGCAAAAACCAAAGTCGGACAGCACCACCCGCTCGCCGAGGAGAAACACGAGGAAGTTGTTCGTTTTCACGTCCAAATGTACGATGTTTTTGCTGTGCACAAATGTAAGAGCTGCGAGTGTCTGCCGAAAGTACGTCGTTACTTGGGCTCGTCGTGTGCTCCAGGGAACTCCGTCCTGAAGGTCGTCCGTCTTCAAGTCCCGTGTGGCCTTCAAGAGGTCGCAGGAAGCCCGCTCCATTAGAATTCCCGTGTGCCCAGTCGAGGATGTCAGCAAGGCATAGAGTCGCAGAACATTCGGATGAGGTCCTACCTGGCTCAAAAGAGTGAACTCACGGGTCAAGTCCCACGTCTTTTCGAGACCGTCTTGGTGCACGTCCAACAGTGCAGTCTCCCTGTCCGGCGTGCGAACGGCCACTTTCAAGGCTAACTTCAGGCCCTGGTACGTGCAAGCGAAAATCTCCCCGTACGTGCCGCGACCCATATGTTTCTCCTGCACCAGTGGGTCCTCGGCCGTGTAGCGAAAAATGCCACGACCGTCGAAGTCCTGCGACTCTGCGACGTCCGGCAGTTCTCTGTCCATGAACGAAGCGGGGGGAACTTCCGTGTGTTTGGCCTGTCGAAATTCTTCGCGTTGGACCCGATTCTCCTGGTAGCCCTGCCTGGCCTTGCGTGTGTACTCGTCACGGAGGTCCTTTCGGTTGTGCCTCGGGGAACAGAGGAATTTTACTGGACGATTGGGTGAAAAGGTAATCCCCGAGTAAAAAGTAACATGACTTGTATTAGGACTTTTAGCTACATCTTATTAATTATGTCTGAAGTAAATAACTTTGGTACGTAGCTAAGATGGCATATTCGGGTTCCTGACCAGAATTGCCAAGATTTTACTTCCCGTGGCTTCAGATGACTTGGGGTTCTAGGCAAGGGGCACATGTGTCAGTGTGACTAATCTATATTGATTTTGCAGCCAAGAAGCCACTTGTGCAGATAATGTATTGAACCGCGAAGTGATGTTTTCCGGGACAGTCGACGACGAGATTTGGGGTCCACAGAGTCCTTGCACATGTCCTGCATGAACAGCGCGTATGCCGAGGGTCGTCGTGACAGTCCCACCTCCTGTAACTTCGGCCGGGCCACCATGGCACGAGTAATACTTCGAGGATGGAACCACGAGTCGAGACATGTACAGAGACTCTTTCCGTTCCATTTATTTCAACAAAACTGAATTCTCATGGACTCCCACCGAGAATAAAAACCTAGGTTTCAAGTACAAACATTTCTGGTACAATTTCCAGTTGCGCTACATGACTACTCATTATCTTGTGTGTCCGTGGGGAAAGTTACACAAAAGGTGAGTGAGGGCGCGTTGGCTCGCCATATCAGTACATGTCTGGCCTACTTAAAATACGTGCTCAATGCATGGACGACATGCTCCTGAACTTGAACCCACATCACCGCCACTGTCTCACACACGTAGCAGTGCATTACAGAAGTCTGACTAGAAGCATCAATTGCACGGATCAAACACGCGTGCAAAGCCGAATAATCCTCTTTTGGGCCCGACGAATGTGTGCATCGATGCTGAACGACGATGTGCTACGAGGAGAAAAAGTCCAATCACGGGCATGTCAAGTCCGAGTGAACTCAGGAGTCGAACCTTGTCAATCGCTCCTGCAAGTTTTCGGGTGGATCACGTCCTTCGTGGTGCTCCACCCATGACCAACCTTGTGTTACACAGGCTCGACCGGCGGCAGCTTCACCTACTTGTGTCCATGAAATACTACGTGTAATGCTGACTACAGCTGTCTTGTAGGACACCTTCCAACGACCATTCTTTGGGTCCGTCCAAACCTGTACAGTATCAGGAACCATGCTCTTCACAAGCTCGTCCGTCGTGGCATTCAGCTTTGCGTACACCCGGTCGTACTGCTGCTTTAGCTTTTTGCTGTCCTTCTCGGCCTTCTGAGTCTTGCGTCGGCGTGTGTCCTGTCCGGCCTTCCAAAAGTCCTTGTCCAGGTCCGAGACGGCGTTCTTGTACATCGTGCATACCTTGGTCGTAGACTTTTGGCCGAAACCGTGGACCGACGGGCACTGAGCTCCTTGAGGGCCTTGTCCTGCTCGCCAATGAGCAGCGTGTCCCGAACGACGGCTTCCAAGTCCTTGTCGTCGACCTCCGGCATCCACTTGTCAGTCTGATGCCTTGCCAGGATTCGTTGAACCACGTCCTCTTCGACCAACGAGTTGTCCATGTTGAGCATGGCGGCAACAGCCAGCTGATGTCCTGCGTCCACACCTGATTTGGGTTGGGTGGCGGTCCAACCCATGTGCTGGCACAACCTGCGCAACAAAGCCTCAGAACAGGCAGCGAAGCCCTGCTCGGCGTGAAAGTCCAACGTGCCCATCTTCTTGTCCACCAAAAACACGATGCCGTTGTTGAGGTGGCTGCCCTGCGTGGAACGACCTCAGCAGTAGCAGTAGCGGCAGCAACACTCTTAGTAAAAAATGATCGCAATCGTTAAGTTTTGCGCCTGGTCAGTAAAAAGCGGTGATATCACTAGGAAGACTGGTAAAAAGACTCCTCTTAGTAAAAAATGATCGCAATCGTTAAGTTTTGCGCCTGGTCAGTAAAAAGCGGTGATATCACTAGGAAGACTGGTAAAAAGACTCGAAAAGGGTAGTAGTAGTAGTAGTAGTAGTAGTAGTAGTAGTAGTAGTAGTAGTAGTAGTAGTAGTAGTGGTAGTAGTAGTAGTAGCAGTAGTAGTAGTAGTAGTAGTGATAGTACTAGTAGTACTAGTAGTAGTAGTAGTACTACTACTAGTAGTAGTACTACTACTACTAGTAGTTGCAGTAGTAGCAGTAGTAGTTGTAGTAGTAGTAGAAGAAGTTGTAGTAATACTAGTAGTAGGAGTAGTAGTACTGGTACTAGTAGTAGTAGTAGTAGTAGTAGTAGTAGTAGTAGTAGTAGTAGTAGTAGTAGTAGTACTACTAGTAGTACTTGTAGTAGTAGTAGTAGTAGTAGTAGTAGTAGTAGTAGTAGTAGTATTACTAGCAATCGCAGTAGTTTACAGTAGTAGAAGGAATCTCAGCAACAGTCCTAGTAGTAGTAGTATTACTACTACTAGTACTAGTACTACTAGTACTACTAGTACTACTAGTACTACTACTACTACTAATACTACTGCTAGCACTAGTACTAGCACTAGTAGTATGGCCAAAAAAGTGGTAGCAGTACAATACTATGTGTACTAGTAGCAGTACTGGTAGTAGTAGTACTAATAGTAGTAGTAGTAGTAGTAGTAGTAGTAGTAGTGGTAGTAGTAGTCGTAGTAGTCAGTAGTACTGGTAGTAGTAGCAGTACTAGTAGTAGTAGTAGTAGTAGTAGTAGTAGTAGTAGTAGTAGTAGTAGTAGTAGTAGTAGTAGTAGTAGTAGTGGTAGTACTGTAGTAGTACTGTAGTAGTTGTTGTAGTAATAGTAGCAGTAGCAAGAAGTCCTTGTCGCACTAGTAACACGTCAGTAGTAGTAGTAGCAGTAGCAGTAGCAGTAGCAGTAGCAGTAGCAGTAGTAGTAGTAGTAGTACTAGTACTAGTACTAGTACTACTACTAGTACTAGTACTAGTACTAGTACTAATACTACTACTACTACTACTACTACTACTAGTACTAGTACCAGTACTAGTAGTAGTAGTAGTAGTAGCAGCAGCAGTAGTAGTAGTAGAAGTAGTAGTAGTAGTAGTAGTCGTAGTAGTAGTAGTAGTAGCAGTAGTAGTAGTAGTGTAGTGCTCGTACTTGTTGTTCTATACATACAAGATTCGGGAGCTCCACTATTTCTGCTTCCCCTCTTTTCCACAACCACACCCTCCTTTCGTCAATACTCAAAACCTCGACGCACGTGCCAACCTGGGCTACTCAACCTAACTCTGTGAAACTTCGAATCCTTGACTGTCGAATCGCCTGAGTTGTTCAGAAACCCATAAAAAATAGCTTCAGTGCTACCCCCCCCCCCCGGGCCGAAACTTACATGCTGAACCGGAGAAGCCTTCCGTGTCAATCAATCATCGTCACTCATTATAGGACGAATATATATGTAGAGAATGTCCGTGTCGGGCTGACAATGTTCAACTGTACTGCAGCCGAGGCACGCAGAGGTGAAACAACTCGCAGCCGCAACACTTCCAAGTCCAAAGATGTGCTGTGCATCCAAAAGAGAGACCGAACGCCCATGTTGAATTCGAAAAACTCATGGTCCTTGTCCTTAACGATCTTGCCGGGCCATGCGAGTGCAGCCAAACGGTATGTCCGAACGATGAACAACGGGGCTGCACCTGCCAGTACAACATGTCCTTCGGGCAAAAGTCCAGAGCACCAACCTTCTTCACAAAGCGACCATCGCTTGGCCCTCCACGCCTTCATCAGTAAACTGAAGGCAGCCAAAACCTCCTGTTCCTCGGCGTGGTTGTGGGAGACCCAGTCCCTCGTCTTCGTCACGTCTGCAAGAAGCTGTGCTTCCTGCACCTCCGAGGCACTGACCTGCGTGCTGACCGACGAATCGGAACGACGACGAACTGCTTGAATCTTCTTCTTCTCGGTGTCTTTGCAGAAAAGTTTGGCCACGTCAAACGCTGCCGGCGTGTGGTAGAGCTCCGTTGACAGTGCCTCCACCCTCTCGTACATCTTGACCACGGCCTGTTGGGTCACAGCCTTCCATCCGTCCAAACGACCCAAGTCCTTCGAAGACGAATGTCGTTGCTCGGCCTCGCGCTGGACTTTATTACAGTCTTCGATGATCTTCGTGTTCAAGAGGCCCGACCAAATGCTGGTCAATACGTGTGCAACGTCCTCCGTAAGGCTCTGAAACCGGGTAGTGCAAAGATCGGCGAGGATGTACCGACTAATCGGCCCTTGGGAGAAATGACCTTCGAGCAATTTTTTTGCCATACGAGAACCACCACTGTGCGTGTCCTGGATACAAGACTGCATCTCTTTGAAAAAATCCAAGCTTGCCCGACGGAACTGCTCTTCAGCATGGACTAGTCCTGCGGTCGCACCGAAACCTCCAGTATGGTACAGCTGTGCCCCGGCCCGCAGCCGCAGGATCTGTAGTGTCAACTGCGTCATTTGGCCTGCGAGCGAGTCCTGCCAGACAAGCTCTGTCTCCTCCGGGGGTTGTGCGCGTGCCAGTGTCAGGTCGAGGCCGACACGAGATAAACCTTCCAAATTCGACAAAGTCCTGACGTGGTCCTTTGCAGTGCTCATCCAAGACCAGTGTGCCCAGCCAGAGTAGTAGTCCTTCGTCATGCCTTTGGAACGCAGCTGCTTGAGCATGAGCGAACAACGAAGCTCTTCGGGTTGCAAGACCTGGAACATCATCCTGGCTGTCGTCTTGTTGTCCTGCGAGATCACGAACTTCGTCATTAAGTGTAGACTGTTCGCGCTGCCCTTCCGCTCCTGGTCCATGCCTTGCTTGGCCTCCTGTATGGCAGAAGACTTGCTTCCACCATATGGAACCGAGGCACGGGCCTGGTTGCTGTCCTGCGAGAAGAGGTCCTTAGTGGAAACTGCCCAGTTGTGCTCCAAGCAGACCACCGTGAGAACTAAAGCCAAGACCGACCACTCTTTGTCCAGCGCGCTGTGGGCCGTCGTCAGGGAATTGAACCGACTCTTGCTGGCCTTCGTGCCCTTGATGCGGATGCAGTCCATGTCGGGTAATGTCTGCAAAAACGACCTGCGTTTCTCCTCCGTGTTGTCGTCCAGGGGGGAGAGGCCGGCGTCCAGCAGAATGTCCGGGAAGAAAAGGAGCAATATCGGGTCCGAGGGGTCCATGTTGTCCTTCATGCGATTTGCGGCTTGCTGGATCTTCAACGCCCACGAGCCCTTCTGCCAGGGTCCATACCTGATGTTGTACAGCGAGATGCACCATGTGCAGAACTTCAGGAGTCCAGCGGCCGACAAGGCCAAAGCCACGTCGTTGTGCGACCTGTGGGCGGGGTCCGAGACGTGTTCGATCCAGAGGCTCTTTTTGTTCCTCAAGAAGGAGACAGCCGCCAGCTGTGTTGCTTCTTGGTCGGTGCACAAAATCATGATCGGTGCACGTTTAGCCTTCGTGTCGTCCTCCGCGGGGCCGGCCGGCGTGCTCTGGCAGCAGCCAAAAGTCCAGCCAATGGGTCGCAAGCCGTGGTTTATGTCCTGCATCCAAGACAGTGTGGCCAGCCGGTCCTCCGCATGACCAGGTCCAACGGGTTTCTCGATCCCGAGGAACTTCTTGGAAGCCTTGTTCCACATAGCTTTCCACTGCTCAGCCGACAAGACGGACGATTTCTGGACCTGCTGCGTGGTCTGACTACACAGAGAAAAATGTGAAGCAAAGCTTAGAGGAAGAGCTTGTCAGCAACAGCATGCAAAACAAACGACAGAGGTTGTTACCATATAATCACCCAGGGGCCCTTTTTTGGGGGACCGGCCGGTCAACTTAAGCGGGGATCTGGCGTACCTTTTTGGGGGCCGAAATGCAGCCAAAATGTGGCCGAAATGCGTTCCTCGGCCTCCACCCGGGACCCGGTCAACTTAAGCAAGGCTGTGCGTACCTACTCATCAGTAGAAGGGCGGCCGGGAGCCTTTATCAGGCCAATCCCGAAACCCAGGGGTCAGCGGGGATACGTGTACCTATCTTTATATAAAATACAATAGAAAGACTCCGCCCCAAACCGAGCCTGAGCGGGGATACGTGTACCTCCCCTCGGAAAAACGATTTTGGTCGGACCCAGAAGCTACGAAAACGGCACCCAAAAAGGTCAACTTAAGCAAGGCTCTGACGTACCTCGCCTCTTGCCTAAAACGCCTCAGAAATATGTGTTGCTTAACAAAAAAAAAGCGCCTGCGGCGGGCAGACCCAAACTTTGTCCGTCGTGTGGTTGTACACCATGATGTTCAGCCAATCGTCACTTCCCACGTGCACTGCATCTGCCACCACGCACAAAATGTCCGTCGAGAGGAAATCTGACTTGCCCTGCGTGACATAGGCGTATCGCTCCATGCGTGCTAGCCTGTGTGCGTCCATAGAAGCGTGCTTCTTGATCTTTTGTTCGTCCTGCTGTTCGCTGCTGTCCTGCACGGTGAACGCATGTCCTTGCAATGTGGAGGTAAGTGTCCTGCGTGTGGCATTCGATGAACTCGCAACCTCTTGTCGAAAACTCGTGGACGACCGACGATATCCGGAGGTGCTCCTGAAACAACAGGGGGAATATCAATTTTCGGGCTTTCAAGACACAACCCTACATCTTAAAACCCCGGAACCCTCCAAACCCTTCAAACCCTCCAAACCCTCGAATCGAAACCTCTCTCCTAAGCTGCATCACTTGCTTCACATTCAAAGATGTCCAGCAGGAATGCGTGTCGTCCGACGAATCCATGGCACGTGCCAAAGCCGCCAACAAGTAGTACTTCGTCCTCAAACTAGATGACTTGCGAGTGTCTCCAATTGTCCGACGGGTGCAGTCCACATTCACATCCTGCAGCACGTCCATGAATCGGGAACGATCGCGGTGTAGTACTTTAGCAAGTAAACTGTTTTGCAGTACAACCTCGTCCACGTCCAGCGAACCTCCTTTGAACGGCAGCACCAGAGTGTTTCCGTCCCACGTGAATGAGAAGTCCTGCGGGGTCTGCAGGAACAAGGAAGCGAGGCCTTGAAGCAACTCCCCGGCCAGCTTGGATACCTCCTCTGCCGGCTTCTTCCATTTGGCATCTTTGCGCATACCCTGGTGCCATTGATGCAAAAGAACAATCGTTGCAAAGCTCGACGTGGCAAACTCTGTACAACGTGTGCTTCGTCCAGCTGCTACCTCTTCCATCTGGTCACCCGTGTGCTCCTCATTGTCCGCTTGCTCGTTGTCGTCCTCCATGTCGTCCTGCATCTGCTGCGAGGATGCCTTTCGTTTGGTGCCCTTCTTCTCGGCGTTTGCAGCGTGCTCCTGCTGCTTGAGGAGGGAGAACGAACTCTGGAGAAAGTGCGACTCGATCTCTTTTTTCAGAGCGTCCTCCGTGTCTGTCCAGCAGGGCCATGCAATCGTGAAGAGCTTGTTCCTGAACGTCGACACACTGCCTGCGAGGAAATTTCGAGACTCGTGTCCTCCGAGGAAGTCCACAAACCAACGCATGTGCCAAAAACGATGTCCATCCGTTACCTTGGTCTGCGGCTCTTTGAACTTGTAGCTCTCGCCCTTGAGGCTTCCGTGTGTCCCGCAGGGAATGCAAAATGCAACTGTCCGACGCTTGTCCGACGCAGAGCTGAAAAAAGCTGGAGGTCCTGAAGAAGAGGGTCCATCGGCAGAAGCGGGCTCCAGCATCTGATAGCGAGTGGATCAATTCTACAGTCTGTTTCTGGTGAACGAATGTAGCAAAACTTTATAGGCTATGTCCCAGGAAGTATATGTGACATCTGCCAAACCAAGAGAAAGGGAGGCTCTGCAGGCATGCAGCTTTTATTCTGGAAGCCCAAAGACAGCGGCAACGAATCGCTGATGTCGCAAGGCAGTGCTCACACCACGTGTCATGGGTCTGTGTTCTTCTGCAACATGTATGTAGCACATACTGCAAGGCACCGCAAGGAAGTCATTATTGCAGTCAGCCATTCATCGCACGTATTCTTTTATGCAGCTTGCAAGTTGCCGGCTTCACGGCCCCAGTGAAACTCGTGCCTGTCCACTCACTCAGACACAATGGGTCGAACGGCGAGGCGAACGACATTGTGCTTTTCGAGTGAACAAACTGGACAGAACAACGAGTAAAGTCAACCCCAAACTCAAGACACACTGAACTACCAGGAGAGAGTGCATTATGCACTCCGGACCGACGGGGTGCCCTGCGGCACATTGTCGCCGAGGCCAGCCGTGGTGTCTGCGTCCGACGACAAGTCGAAGGTCCACTTGGCCTTCATGTCCGGCAAAGTAGGAAAGAAACTCGCGCATTCAAAACTGAACAACGAGTTATGCTGTCCATCTGAAATGACACAGTCCACCGCAAAAGGGTCGTCCAATTGCCACGTCTTGTTGTCCGGGAGAGTAGGAAGCTCGTGGCTGAGGTACGACTCGTTGGGTACGAACTCCGAGCGGGAACGGCGAGGGTGTCCATCTTGTGTGGCAAAGACGTGGCAGTACAACGTGTTGTTCTCAAGTGACCAGATGTTGTACCTGTCCCGGTCAACACTGATAGCCTCCGCCGAGTTCACCGCAGCTATGTAGTTGCGACCAACGTCCTCCATGCGGGCCCTCGCTAACTTGACCAACGTGGACTGATAGCGAATGTCCGCACGAGATGGCAAGGACGCCGACTTGGCTGCCCAGAACTGGATCTCGAAGAGGGTCCGTACGACGGGTTCGTCCTTCTGTACGTCCTCCGCGAGCTCCACACCGCAATGCTTGAGCATTAAGCTCGCCATCTCAAGCGGCAAACTGCCCCATTTGGTGCACTTGCCCTTCCATCTCAGTCCACCGGTCTCCTCCTTCTTGGCAACGTCCTTCAGAAGACCATTCAACGAGCCCGAGCGGATCAGACCAGCGAGTGGAGAAATCCAAGTCGGGTTCTGGGTCAGCGTGTCTTGAATGAACCGCATGTCCACGTCGAGTATGGTGCTTTTGGAGTGCTGAACGGCGGATGCGAACGTCGCCTCGTTGCGCTCCCGGGTCTTGATGTCCTTCGCTTTCTGCTTCGCCAGCTGCTTGAGGGTGGGCTTGCGGGGGCCGGCATCACGAGGCATGCTGGGCAAGGTCCGTCGAGGAAGAACGACGGGGGAAGGATGATAAGACTGCACGAAGTCTCAACGCACAGGCAGGACGGCTTCGGAAAACCAAACAATCAATCAAGCCCTGCTGCTGGGTGGTCTCACAGTGCATTGTGACTGGACGAACATGGCAAGCAAGACACAAAGCGTAGACCGCACGAGAGCACAGTGCCTGAAACGAGAAGGCTCAGCGGCAGCGATGCCGGCCAATGGAGTCCGTGTCCTCCATATGAACAGGACAACAGCGATTGCAAGAGCGCCTTCCTCCAGCTGGTTGACTACTGGTCTAGTAATTACTCGTAGCAATACTAATCCAGATTGCGAAGAGTAGTACTAGCAGCAGTACCACTACTCATTAAAGAAAGGAAAAACCAGTAGGCCGAAATTGCAGTCCCTATTAGTTGAAGTAGAAGTATTAGTAGTAGTAGTAGTAGTACTAGTAGTACTAGTAGTAGTAGTAGTGTACTAGTAGTAGTAGTAGTAGTAGTAGTAGTAGTAGTAGTAGTAGTAGTAGTAGTAGTAGTAGTAGTAGTAGTAGTAGTAGTAGTAGTAGTACTAGTCTAGTAGTAGTAGTAGTAGTAGTAGTAGTAGTAGTAGTAGTAGTAGTAGTAGTCGTAGTAGTAGTAGTAGTAGTAGTAGTAGTAGTAGTACTAGTAGTAGTAGTAGTAGTAGTACTAGTAGTAGTACTACTAGTACTAGTAGTAGTAGTAGTAGTAGTAGTAGTAGTAGTAGTAGTAGTAGTAGTAGTAGTAGTAGTAGTAGTAGTAGTAGTAGTAGTAGTAGTAGTAGTAGTAGTAGTAGTAGTAGTAGTAGTAGTAGTAGTAGTAGTAGTAGTAGTAGTAGTAGTAGTAGTAGTAGTAGTAGTAGTAGTAGTAGTAGTAGTAGTAGTAGTAGTAGTAGTAGTAGTAGTAGTAGTAGTAGTAGTACAGTAGCAATGCTAGTAGTACTTGTACTAGTCGTGGTAGTAGTCGTAGTACTGAGTTGTACACCTCATGATTATTTTCCTGAATCAAGCCACACCCGAAGCCCCTCTGTGGACAAGTATGGTGAACTTCCAGAAGTGAAATCGGTTTATACCATGCACTGTAAGTAGATCTAGTTAAGGAGACACCACCCGCAATGAATAGGCCAGAACTAACCTTAATGATTCACAGCCACAAACAACAAATCTAATGTGTAACGCCCAACACTAAAATTTACCGCTCACCCTCGGTTCTATGCACTCGATGCTTGAAATGCTGAAATGGCAACCCAGGCAACAAACCGGACTCCAATTGCTCAAAGGCCTTTAACTCTTTATGTCTACGGCAATTGCTCCATGTCTGCTGCAGGTGGATCCTAACTTACCTCAGAGTCCGCGGAATGCCTTGTCACAATCCGAAAGCATGACCCCTGACTTAGTCCTCGTCCTGCCGTGTGGCTGTGCCCTGCGAACCGAACGAGGAGTGACCGACCTCAATTGCAATGCATGAAGCACATGACAAACCTAGTACGAGTGACTGGTGACTGCGGGTGGTTCAAGCACTTGTCGCTTCCGAGTGTGACAGGAAAGAACACAGCAACTGTGCCGATGCAAATCGTCACAAACTGTGCAGCACCAGAACTCCGAGGACCCCGCCAAAGAGGTGCCAGTCCATGTCAGCAACCTGAAGCGCAAAAGTTTAAGTCAGCAAACAGTGCGATAGGAACTAACATCCGGCAAATGTAAAGTGTGCCAGGACAATTCTTTTTGAACGGCGAGAGCGAACTGATCTGAACTCCGAGTGCAGAAAACGTGTCACTTTCGAGACTGGCCGGCGAGAGCGAACTGCTCCAGAACTCCAAATGGAGACTGGCCGGCGGGTACGTCGTGCTTGAACGAACTGCGGCTAGTTCCACGAGCCCGGTCCAAGTTCGAGTTTCTTGAGAAACAGTCCGATGCACTGAAAGTCGATCGTGTCACCTGAACCAGCGATGTCCGAAAATTTGTCGACTTGGTAAGTATTTCAGTTATACTACAAGGTTTACCAACAAAAATCTTACTGGTTCTGCTGTTGCACGTCCGTCGGGGCCCTTCGTGATGCAGAAGTACAAGTCCGACGCGTTGTGCGACGACACCGCGTAGTACATGTGGCCCTGCCAGGGAACGGGGGCGGCCACCGGGTAGGCCTCCCAGTCGCGGTTCAGCATCTCGACCATCCACGATTGCGGGTGTCGGGAACCGAACAGCGGGGAATGGAGTCCGGCGGAGAGGGCGCTGTCTGTCCTGCGCTGGGCCGCCCCGAGTATCTGCTTGAAGCAGAGCCTGGACCGGCAGTGGGTGCTGCGTGTTTAACCACTCACACACACAAGTGCAAGTACTGGAATGCTTGAATGACTGAGTGCGCTGATGTCATAGCTGAGTGCCACACTCCAACATTTTATCGCCCTGCATGTGTTCGACGAGTATCTGCCAGCCGTCGTCCTTCCTGCTAGGGAACAATTCAATTATCAGAAACACAAACTATTAAAATCTAGAAGTCTCTCTCACTCACCGTCCGAGGAGTCCGTGTCGCGAAGGCAGGGGGCCGCTTGTACAGCAGTCCATCGGTTGCAGCAAGCCAAGACCAAAGCCTACGGGATGTGCTCTGTGGAAAATAATCAATGTATTATAATATTATATGGCTTTAAAAGCATGCACCTTCATAGAAACAACGCTACAACCAACATGGGTGTAACGAGCCTGTCCGCCCATTTCTGCTGCGTGTCGTACGGCGAGTGTTCGGGTACAAAGACAGTCGAGAGCCATTCGGTGCGCCATTCGGGCATCCTGTCGGGTTGTCCAGTGCGGAAATAATATGCCTGCGCAAGGCTCAGATCGGCGAGGAAGCACTGCAAATCCTCCTGCGAGTCAATGCCCGGCGGAAGGCAGTCCAAACAGTTCGACGGCAGCTGCTCGCAATAATCGAGATTACGCTGCAGGATGGTACTTGGGTCTTCCATCCCACAGACCGACGCGAGGTAATAGTCCATCGCACGAAAATCGAATATGACCTCGTCCTGCGGGTCGGTGGAACGGCGAAGAAAAAACGGGAGTCCATGGGGAAGTCATGCTCGGTCAGCGGAACCGGAGGACGACATGTCCGACGAGAAAGAACGAGGAAAGGGAGAGGAATGATGATGACAGTGGCAGGTGGCTTGGGCTTTCTGGCAGCGGCATGATAACAATGATTCTGTGTCTAGGCTTCTTTAAAAAACCTAAAGCATCACCAACCACGACAGACCATGATGCTTCAGATGAAAGTCTGCCTGACTTGTGCTGCTGCTCCACACTGGCAAGTGCTAGGCTGCCCACGGTGATCTACGTGTGCCCACTCGAAGTCCAGCGGAGTCACCTTTGTGAGGCCGACGTTAGTACTACATGGGAACCATGGACTCATCATTTGTCCCTAGTCCTTCGGGGTGGTCCTGCGGCGCCGCTTTTGAGCTTCCTAGCTTAAATCATAGTAACTTCGAATGCAAAGTGCACAGAAAAGGAGCTTGGACAGTCCTAGGAACCGACCTTGAACAGTCTGGTTACAAAACCCAGCATTCTTTACAAGAGGCAAGCTGCTGAGTAGAACCATCGAACTCCGAACGACCGTTGCAATGTGTACTGACGACCCAGGCCTTGTGTCTAAGTCTTCAAACTGACATGTATAACTATGATTCTAAACTGCATTCAGTCAGCTGCTAACCACCCTTGTCCCAAAGGAACCCCACACCCTGTGTAAACCCGACAGCTGAAACACAGACTCTGTGTGTGTGTGTGGGTGTGTGTATGTGTTGTCCTGTGTATGTCCTGCGAGTGCCAACAGCTGTTGCTTAGTGTTGCATGGGAAACCAGATGAACACAACGTCCCAAATGAAGTCCCCAATCTCAGAAGATGTAAGTAACAAGCGAAGAAACCTGTAAGTAGCATCTCAAGACAAGATGGTTCCAAAGGCAACCGCTAAAGAAAAGTATAAGTACCAGGAGAACAAACAGGGAATGTGCATTCTCGAGTCCAGTACCATTATACCACTGCACAAGTGCAAGAACTTACTGTACTTACCCTGTGCCCTGAAGAGAACCATCCTTTAAACCCAAACAAAAAAAGCATGAACAGACCTGAGCTTGCAACGAAGGATTGCGCATGGAAGACCTGATGCGAGGAAGCTTGAGGGCTTCTCCTCTTTAATATTTTATAATTCTGAGTATTAATATAATATTATTATTGCCTGATGTGAAACCTCCACAAAGACTGAGACACCCAATCCAAACCACTTTTTGACTGTCCATGGTTTGAATATCAAAAAGCTCGTAAATTAAATATGAAGACAGACCTTTCCTGAGAGGGAAGAATAACGATTCTGAAGCCCCCTGTAGACTACTGCAAACTCCATTATCGCAAATCCACCTCTGAGTCTTTGCCATCCGACTTAACATTTACATAGAAGACATGGACACCACATTTTCCTAGCCGCATGGCATATGAGAAATATGAATTATCTGTGCAGTAACGGCGCGGCAAAACAGCTAACTCCAAACCGTGATGAATCTTTCATAAGAGACCACGACCCAACCAGCAACACATGATCGGAGCCGCTCTGAGCACCCAGCTGCGAAGAAAGGGTGGCTTCAATTCACCTGACGCTGGCAAACACTGGCATGCTGATACGACTCACTTACTACCTCAGGAAAGCATTCTGCGGCAACGACTGCAGAACCGCACTTTTTCCTGCTGTGTCCGGCGAGTCGAGAAGTTGGCGAGTCGAGTACCGTGTATCAGACCGACGAATCAGGATATTTCTCTATTCCAGGATGCTGCTATGCGGCCTTCTAAAACATTAATTTAATAGTTTGTCCTTCGAGGAACCGTCGAGTCTGATATGCACGGGAACTACGGGGGACTCCGTCCTCCGGGGGGAGCAGCCGGCTTGCGGATGCAGGCGGGTGCCTGCTTTGGCACCGGGGCGGCCTTCGGGATGCTGGGAGTCTTCGCCTGGAATCAGGACATGTAATGACTAAGCAGGAAATACATGCAACATGTCACCGAGGCCACCGAGTGCAATCAAGACACAGCTGCGGCTGGTCCGGCGGGTTTAGCGGGAAGTCCTGTGCAGAACAGAAGCAGCCACTCGAAACAATGTCACATGTGCAAGTAGTTGAAGCTACATATCCCAATGAACGGCGAGCAAAAAACAAATCAACATTCTTGAAGCGAACCTAAGAAACCATGTCTAGCTTATTATAAAGCATACCGAACCAACGATGCAGGGCCACTGTTTCTGCATACTGGCACTGTGAACTGTGTGAACACCTGCTATTGTTCCGACCGTACACCCCTTCTTTGCTGGGCTCCATATCCAAGGAAGAAGTGCTGGACACAGGTGTAACTACTGAACTCTAATAAGTGATTAAAACTAACCAAAGAAACCAAGCTTGTGCATGATGTGGACACAAGAACTGCTGGCTATTTCTTGTGCATCCAGCTAACTAACACGTGTAACAGACTCGGTCCACGATCCACCGAAAAGGCATCGAACACATAGGATAATATGCTTTGTTTTGCCACCTGCGGCCCCCGTGTCCCCTCCACCTCGTCCCTGGCACCTCTCTAATCTAATGCTGCTGACGGACATGGGTGCCCTCTGCTGGAACAGGCCACCCCCTCCGAGGGTGGAACCTATTATACACACATGACAAGACTACATGTTCAATCTGGCTTGTCTGTAGCAGCCATGCGACCAAGGACACGAACCAATGCACAGATGCTTCCGATGATGTTCTGCCCGGCAGTAATAATAACGGCGGCAGGAAGTGAGCAAACGACACGTATGTGTGGTATATTGACAACCAAATTATGGTGGAAATTACCTTAGAGCAGACAATATGACTGTGACTACTACGACCACTACTGCTACTACTAGTACTAGTACTACTACTACTACTACTACTACTACTACTACTACTACTACTACTACTACTACTACTACTACTACTACTACTACTACTACTAGCACTACTGCTACGACTACGACTACTACTACTACTACTACTACTACTCATACTCATACTCATACTCATACTCATACTAAAACTAATACAAATACAAATATTAATACTAATACTAATACTAATACTAATACTAATACTAATATATACTACTGATAATACTACTTGTACTACTACTAGTACTACTACTAGTACTACTACTAGTACTACTACTACTACTACTACTACTCCTTCTACTAATAGCACTAGTACTAGTACTAGTACTAGTACTAGTACTACTACTAGTACTAGTACTAGTACTAGTACTAGTACTAGTACTAGTACTAGTACTACTACTACTACTACTACGACTACTACTGCTACTACTACTACTACTACTACTACTACTACTACTACTACTACTACTACTATGACTCATTAAGATTACGGATGTGCAAGTCCAACATGGTAAGTAAACTACTAAAGTACGATTAGTAAGTACTAAAGTACTTCTTTTGTTGCCTTACTTGTACTAGAACTACGATGAAGAATGACTAATTGTACTAGTAATAGGACTATAGTAATGCCTTCACAAGAACTTAACATAATTCCGAACCGAAACCCACATACGTGAAATCGGCGTGGCACTACTAAGCAATCCCCTGTATTAAATTAATGCCTTCCCCTTGCAGTCCTGCGTCGTGCTCTTGGACCTGCGAGAGCTGCATGGCCAAGTAGTCCGCCTCGAGTTTCTTGCGCTCCATCTCGATCTCGAGTTGCTTCATGAGGAGTTCCCTCTCGGTCGGCCCGCGGGGGGGGTCCTGCGAGGATGACGAGGCCGCCGAGGAGAACTTCACGGCCGTCGTGGTTGTGGCCTGCGAGTGAGTCGGCGTGCCCAAGCGCTGCTGCTCTTGCTTGGCCGCCTTCGTTTTGGCCTTCGAGATTGGTTGGATAGGTACAGGGTGTGGAGCGGCGGGTCTGGAAACGGCGGGTGCAGTGGGTGGGATCTTCGAGGATTTGAGAGGTGGGGCCTGCGGCGGTCGGGTGGTCGCGGGTGGTGCTGCCTCAGCTGCACGTGCTGACGTGTTTGCCACATAGGCAGCCCATTCGGGTCGAGCTTGGGGTCGAGGCTTCGGCGGGGCCTGCGCTCGTGGACCGCCTTCACCGGGTGGATCCAGAACAGTGCCGTGTCCGACCAGTGGCTTGGCGCCCGGCGTGGACCGGACCCGGGGAGGAGGCCTGTCGGGTGGACTGTACGAGTACAGGTCCTTCGGGGCGCCCGTGGCCAGGCTCGTAGTCCGACGGGTCGTAGGTGTGGTCGTCGTCAAAGGCGAGAACTCCGGAGTCCGTCCGGAGGTACTTCGTGCGCTTCCGGCGTGCTTCTGTCTCCAGCGTGTAGTTCTCGTCCAGCCTGAGGTCCGACACGACCGACTGGTACGACGAGCCGCCCGGCAAGTCCTCCGAGTGCACATCGTCTTCCGTCCTCAAAACGGACATCTTCTTCCGCTCCTTCACGGGTATGTCTGAGTACGTGTTCTCGATCCGGCGAGACTTGGCGGCCTGAACACCATGTACTCTTCGTCATCGCCTCAGAGCAGAACACATCCGACCGCAAAGGAAGACATGTGAGAGTGACATTGACATGTGCAAATGACAAGAATTCAGCTTGGGCACGTCGCGGGTGCATGGCGGCAATCGACTTCTCGTTGATGTTCATCGTGAAGTACGCCGAGTGGTTTCTTAAGTCCCCAGATTTGCCCGACGAGGCTTTACCTCAGTCCAGAACAGTGCTGCACTCAACTGAACTCTGCAAGCAAAGTACGTCTGGCTGCATTCCAGAGCACGATTCATCTGTCCGGCGATATCGTGTGCGAGAATTCGGCCCCACGGGGATTGCTCAGCAAGTCCGACCAGCGCCTTATTCATGGGACACAGTGGATGCAATGAAGTCCTTGATCGTGCCTGAACACGAGCTTATTGCTTAATTAAGTCAGGCAGCGTTCCAAACACCGTCGTCGAGATCGTACGGGTAGTTCATGATTGCCGCCGCAACGGCTGGGTGCTTGTAGAGAAGAACAGCGCGTGACTCGGGTCCTTAGCCTCTGAGTTGATCAGGGGAAAAAAGGTTAAACTTTTTGCTCAGAAATAGCCCAGGTGCCTGAAATCTACGGAGTCTACAGTTGCAGTCGGATATCCGGGCATAAAGATCAGGAATTCTGGGGAGTCGTTTAACATCATGGGGTCGAGCGCCCAATCAAGAGTGAAAGCCAAGTCTTGAAACTCCAAGATATCCGAACTCTTCAGCACACAATGGCTGTAACGGTTTCACGCCAAGATAGAGATCATGTGAACCTGGATTTCGGGTGTTCACCTGAAGGAGACTGCCACGCTTCTTTTGCATGTGTATCTCCGATTCTCTGCACCTCGGCGGTCCTGACGTGAAACCTGGCTGGCACAGCTATGTCTAAGCAACCTGAGGCAACACCAAGTCCAATGTCCGTTTGCTGCGATCTCAACCACTGCCTATCGCTGTGCTGAAACTTAATGACACTCTGCAGAGCATGGAAGAAGCTTGCATACAGTGGCGAGGACCGCCCTTCCAATCGAATAGCCTGAGTGCCAAGCTCGGATCCTGCATATTACCAGCACTAGAAATCTCTGCTTGCATGTAAGCGAAAGCAAAACCCGAAAAAACTGCACCCTGTGGCTCCTTGGTCTAAATTCGGAAACCAACAGCCCAAACATCCCCAGGTGGCACAGTATCAGCACTTCATTGCCCCACTTTGGGTGCAGCAGCGGGGAGATTCACGCAGGGTTGAGGAACCCGGTGAGTTTAAATCCTGAATCCAGCCACAGACCCATTTAAACAAGTGTGCGCAACCGAAGTCACCCAGGAAAGTGCCGAGCTCACTGGAACAATTATGTACTCGCTCTAACCGTTTCCACCTTTGGCCCTATGCAACGAAATCTCGTCAACCATTCCGGGGAGGAGCAGCTGAGGCCTTGAGCTGTACATATTTACATATTTCGTGCAGGTTACTAGTTACTAAGGCTGAAACCCCAAATCTCAAAAAAATATCAGAGCGATTGCGGCATCACGCAGGCCAACTTCGCCTGGCAAGGCATAACCGTTGCTGATCACTTACGGGTCCTGTTTCAGATGGCTTGATAATGAATTTCTGGCGTGGTCTAAAGGGCGCTGGTCTAAAGGGCGGTGGATAATCGTGCAGCGGGTGCGGCCCCGTAACCCAGAACAAACTATGCAAAATTGTCCCTGATCAGTTCATACAGCCTGGAGTTCGATTGCAATCTAACAATCAAGGGCCGAATGCAGATAGAAACTCTTAGTCCAAGCCGACTTGAAATTGTGACATGACGCCATCAACTGCGCTAGTCGCCTTCGAATACATTCTCGGCACAACAGGGCGTGTTACTGACATTTTTGGCCGCTTCCTCTGGCAGTCATGCGGCGGCTTCTGCGAACAAGCTGTTCATATCATACAGTGACGCACGCTTGGCACGGCAAAATGCCGTGGTTGCTTGCACCAGCTGCGAGCCCCGGCAGGCAGCATGACCCTGGAAGCGTACACTCTGCAGCCTTTGCTGCAACATGTTGTTAAACCATTTTTCGACTTGACTTCTGCCCACTTGCCTCGAAAACATTTCCTGCACATGAGAAGTCTGAGTGACAAGGTGCTGCCCTGTGAAAGCTTCGAAGCACACGCAGCCGAAGGCGAAAACATCTGCTGAGGTTGTCAATAGGACCTGGGCCACTCGGGGTTTCCACGAAACCTCCAATATAATGCACCAATCGCCTATCCCCGGCATAAAACAGACTGTGTAAAATTACTTTGGCAACGTTGCGCCTTCAGACGCAGAGCCAACCAGCATTCAGGAGGGCGATACGCAGATGTGTAGGCACACTGCCCCTCGGTGCGAAACGGCGTCGTCAAGCTGAGGCCGAAGTCGGAAAGCAGAGCGTTGGATCCACTAATAATGATGTTGCCGGGCTTCACGTCTGCATGCAGCACATCGCGAGAATGGATAAAGATCAAAGCCAGAGCAATCTGGTGGAGCAGGACCCAGACTCTGCGCTCCCCTGGTGCCTCTCTACAGATCTTGAGAAGAGAGCACTCTCCCAGAGGCATCACCAAGACGGCGGCAACTTCCGGCAGCGAGGAAGTCATATGTGCATATATTGTCATCACGTGCGGATGGGCCAAATTCCCCAATCTTCGGACCTCCTCAAGGACATCTCTACTGTCATTGGAGCATACTTTGGCGGCATATTCCTGCCATCCGTCTGACATGGCCTCAGATGCTGCACTTCTGACTAGCCGGGCGGGCCTCGTGCAATAAAAACTGTACGGCATGACATGTTGTTTCATTATTTCTGAGCCGAGAAGCGTAGACGGTGCCATATGCGCCCGCGTCCACAAACCGCACGGCTCTGAGTCGGTGGCCATTCCAAAGCAAATCGCGCGGAGCTTTTTGCAGCTGATCAACAGGTTGCTCTGCTGCAGGTGCCAGGTCTGGGATCTCATCTTCTGCAGGTTTCAGAAGACGCTGCCGGGTCTCCTGGGCAGCACATGAAGATACATTCTTAAATGCATCAATACCAGCAGAGGTCTGCCGTCCTGGGTTCTAGCCACTATCGCCTGAAATCTCTCTCGCCAAGGCTTCTTCTCATTGACTGTCATGGCTGACCTCGAAGCATTTTCATGAAAACAATTGTTATCCACGCGTATCTCTCTCCGGAGACTGCCAAAAGGAAAGCTCTCTGTTAAGTAGAGGCACCAGAGCTGCGAAGCTCGAACGACGGCGTTGCTCGAAGACTTTCCCTGGATCTTCTTCTTCTTCTGACTCTGCATAAATAGTGCAAAGTCGCTGGCTGGGCGCTTGATCCCCAGCGACTTATTCGTGACGTAAGCATGATCGGACGCCATAATCCTCACCCAAACGACCCGATTGCTTCGTTGTGCGCTGCACGTGTATTGTTCACGTCTTGTTGGTATAATTTCAATGCTTTGCCATTGTAAGTTTCGACACATTGTTGAACTGATGCTCTTCGACATGACTTAACATCTCCTGAGTCTGCCGGAACGAGGCAATGGAGAAGCTTGCTGCAACAGGTCCAGGTTCTATACAGATTCAGAGGCATGATCTCGTCAAGCAGTTCAGCGAAAGCTGTTCACTACTCTAGTCTTCCGCCCCGAAGCTGAATAACAGCGAACCCTAAACCTGGAAACCCCTGTATCCGGCACTGCTTGGCGCAAGCGCGAATCCACTGTTCACTACAAGACGGCATCCGGCTCGCCCCTAAGCCTGGATCTTGAATCCAAGTTCAATGTTGAAACCGGTCACCCAAGCCACCGAGAACTGAGAACCTTCTTGTCATGTTGCTTCACATGGCAACTATGACAACTAATAACAAGTGTTACACTTGAACCATAGCACTATTCAAAGCACCTGCAGCCCAAGAAAAGCCATGGAGCCTCCGCAGGTTCAGCAGTCGACCTCGACAGCGCACAAAAGGTCCGAGGATCGCAAACTCCGGTCTCATGTCCAGCTGCATTCATGCTGCATGAGGTGAAGGGTACGCCGTCGTTTAATTCAGCAACAAAGCGCCGATCAAGCAAAACACATACACACAGACACCCACACACACACACTCAACCTTTTTCCAAGTCGCAGTCACCTCAAAACTGCCCGAAGCCAGCGGGCTAATGATGTGCACCCACGGCTGCCAGAGTATGCGAACTTTTAGCCTATCCCTGCACGATAGTTTAAAAGCACGGCATTGTTATCCTCTGCAAGCCTCAAGCAGCTGGGCTCGACTCCGGTAGCATCACTTGATGGAGCTCACGCATGCGAGCATGATCTCGGCCACTGCCTTCGGCAGTGTGCAAGCTAGAACGCTTTGCTGCAACTTCAAGGGCTCTACGAGGACAACAGATACCTCTTTTGTCCATCCCAAGTTGGCCAAGTGTTCTGCACTGCCCAAGCGAAAAATTGCCCCCTGAGATCGTGCGATGATGACTGACCCGGCGCTTGGCTGTGGACACACCATGCTGGGCTTCCGCCGTTTCGAGCTTTTGCCTGCATCCAAGTACCACGTCTGATGATGACCTGTGACAAGCAACTGTTGCAGCTCCTGCGCGGCTTGCTCCAGCATGGGTTTGCCTTTCTTGCTGTCGTTCTCATTGCCCTCGGCTTCGACGGTTGACGGCACCGGGTCACGTTCGAGAGAAGCTGTAGATCTTGGCCCATCTGGCTTGAAGCCCGGCACCTTCCATTTGTTTGCAGCCAGGGTTTTTTCTTGAAGAAGTGGCTGGAGCTCTGATGAAGTACATTTTGCATTCGCCAAGAGCAAAATGTAGGTTGATGCCAGCCATGGACTTCCCAGAGCTTCCCAACAAATGTGTTTTGAAGCAATGTTGAACTCCGGCGAGAAGTTCTTCAAGAGCTTTGAATCCGGAGCTTCAGGCATCGCGAGACATATGATGGACGCACCATGCTCCAGGGCGAGCGTTAAGGTCACACGGAGGTCTTCGGTCTCGCCGTTATGCCATCCCATGAAATGCACCACACCTGACACCTTCAACGACTGGGCGAGTGCCACGGGTGCAAATGCATTGTGGTAGCGGACCCTAGCGAAACGACGCAGCTCTGCTTCATCCGCAGCCAAATGGATGCTGTCACTCACGCCCAATGCTTGGGCCGCGTTTATCCCTTGGCCACACCACAAAATGACCATGGCCTGTAGCAGGTACGAGTTGCTAAACTGCCACTTTGAGGATAAACGACTGCTGGGCAACAGGCTGCTTCTCGTATACCCCTTCGGCACACTATCTCAGAAGCACATAGGGAACTACATGCAACTGCATGTGACCACCACTGGCCTTCTCTCGATGTCAGATTCGGCATCATTGCGCCTGGCACACGTGCACTGTTTGCATCAGCTGAGCGTTACAGCCTCGATCTTGTTGTTGCGAGCAGGGTACGGTTCATTTTCCACCGCAGCAATCAATGCTCGACTCTGCCACTTTGGCCAAGGGCCGCAGCCGGGAACAAAGCGACACAAAATGGCGTGGATGACTTGCTGTCTCACGGAAGTCAACTTAGATATCAGCCTGCCCAACTCGTCTACCCTAGCTGCAACACAGTCTTCCACAGCTGCTGAAGGCTCGCACCCGGCATGCGTCATGTTACACAAAAACAAGCACGGCTTAAGCTTGCAACGAGCGCCTGCCCTCTGCTGTGACATGCTTCATGAGCGGAAGAAGAACCTTCGTCACGGCGGCCAGCGACATAGAGTTGCCCGTGAGATCATAAATCTCTGACTGCGACCAGTACCTTGAATTGGTGAACTAAGGCAACTCTACACATGGAGGTCCAGAATTTACCACGATAGCATGAATAAAGTCAGGGAGCTGCAAATTGCTGCTCTGCCGCCAAGACTTGTTCCACCCTAGCATCTCCAGGTGGCTCGTTGCTGGCAGGATCTCGCCTTGCTGGAAGTCGAGCAGACGTGTGGACGTAGTGAGCGTCGTCCACGTCTTGTTGAGCGTGATGCCACCGAAGCTTGCCTTCTGAGAAATGTCCGCGAGGATGTACGGCACGAAGGAGCTGTCAGCCTTTCGGGCCTCCTCGGCCGATCGAGTCGCCATCATTTCAATCACATCCACGTTCGCCTTTTGGATCGGTGTCAGATGACGCACGGCCCGCAGCTTCGAACTCGCTCTGTCTTTCATGTCCTTGACGATGAGAGGATCACCTTTGAACTTCTCGCTGAGCTTGCTCATCAAGGCCGCGAACTCATTGTGATAGGCTGCATCGGCTTTCCAAGATGTTACTTCGTCGCGAAGAGCCTCAACGGGTGTCACCTTGCAGCTCAGCGCATGGATCGGCATCTCCTTCGAAACTTCCTCGAGCAACTGGCTTTTGCGAGCCCAATCCGATGCTGTCAAGTCCGGGCATCGACTGCCCAGTATGAAAACCCTTTCTCGCTTCTCTGCCAGAGGCCGGCCTGTGATGTTGATGGCCTGGACGTCGTAACCGCCATCCATACCTTTCAAGACGCGCAAGTAATGGTCCAGTGGCGACGAAGTTTCGCCTTTCGCCTTCTTCCTGCCACAGCACTCAAAGCTTCGGAGCCTGCAGAACTCTAACAACACAGACTGAATTCAACGCCAAGTGTGTCCTGCAGCCGACAACGTTTTCGAGCAGGAAGAAAACCGGTTTGTGCTTCTTCAAAGCACGTACAGCGGCTTGGAATGTAGACTCTGACACCGCCTTGGGGTCCAGGGGGCTCTTCGCGAACCTGCTCCCGAAGCGCTCTGAATTTGAGCAGCACATGAAGCCAGCAGCATAAAATCGGATTGGCTTTCGTGCTACACATTTCATGGCGTGCTTCAGACAGTAGCCACCGCTGTCGGAACTCGTCGAGTCGACGTCCTGGCAAACCAAAGCCAAAACATGCTAGCCGAATAAACCGGGTGAGCTATCCACGTTGAACCGTGAGACCCAGCCTGGAACAGATACTCCATACGGAAATTGCGAAGGCACCAGCAAGCAGCTGATGATTTTCTCTCGGCACCAAATATGTGCTGAGCGCTTGGCAGCAAAGTCTGGATGACATGACCAACTGCATTGATGCCGTCGAAGCCACTACCCCAGGAAAAATCTGCTTCGCCTGGGCCGAGGCCTCCTAGATGCTTGATGAAGGTGTCGATGTCGAAGGGCTTATCGGTCGTAGGCGCGGTAGCAGACGAAACTGAAGCCTTAGTCTGCAAAGACTTCACCGTCTTCGCTGCTGGCTTCTTTTTTACGACGTCCTTGCCCATTGCCAGCTGGGAATAATTACAAGACCCAAACACAATGTGGCCGGCTGCAAGCCTGCTCACGGTCTCAACTGGAGCCACACAATGCATTGAATGCAAGTTCAAGTGCATACCGCCGAAAGCAAGCGCACCCCACAGCCACTGAGCAACATCTTCAGGGTAAGATCGTCGGGCACACCTCCTGTTCATGGAGCCACTGCCGCAGAAACCGAATCACCAATGTGCCTCATTGTCGCGATGAATGTTGCTGCAACATCCGGACGAGGCGCAGAGCCCGACACCAGTGTTTTCATTTCTGTTTCGTTTAGAAAGCATAGAACGGATCATGTTTCAAAGAGGCAAGTGTCACAGATTCACACAACCATCCTGAGGCAGAGGGGCTGCATGCGATAATGACTCGTTGTGCTGTCGCAACTTCATCCATTTTCTCGCCCCGGGGGTTACAAGCACCCAAGACTCCCGATAGGCCAACGAAAAGCTCCAACCTAGGCTTACAATCATGATTACTCACTGCTCTGTGCACCGAAGTATAGAAGCCCGTGTGTACAAACCGATATTCCACCGAAGCTGAAAGCAGGTGGAACAATTGAGCTTTCGAAATGGCCTTAAGGCGTACCTCAACCCCAAAAGTCTTCGGCTCGGGCCTCACATCCATGCTATCACAGTGAAGTGCCTGGCATCTGGGATCTTCCTGGTGAGAAGAAGACAACGGACTAGAGCTTCTAGGTTTAGGGTTTAGGGTAAGCTCAACAAGATGTCGTTATGTGGAGCTTTAACGGCTTCTGGGTCAAGACCTCGATTCACAATGGCTTGAACCTTGGGGCATTGGGGCTTCTCTGGGTTTGTGGACCCGGGACTCAGAGCAGTCGTGGGTCGTGGGCCTGATCATTTGGTTAGGCTGCTTTGCTTGCAAGGCGAGGCAAGGGTGCTTTCCGGAGAATGGACTTGTCACTTATCACGATTTGACTATGTCTAGCCTTCGCAGGACTGCGGCTTTGCAGGTTTCGCATCCTGGGTCTGGGCAAGCGTAAGATTTGCAAAGCCATGCACTGGTCAGGAACCTCGAGTTCGGATTTAGTGCCGACTTAGATCCTACACTTCTC